CGCACACTGATACAGTGAATGAACCTGCATTTCACATCTTTGTGTTGTTGGCTTTCTGTAGGGTATGACTCATTGAAAGGCAGTAAACTGGTTTAGGTATAAGCCTGTAACTTGGAGCTGACATAAAAATTCCATCTAAGGTGGAAGACTACAGAAGGAGAGACAACAGCTGAAGGCTGAAAATAAACAGCAGCCAGCAGAGTTTAGAAAAAGCCATGAAAACACTAATATGCTGGGGAAAAAGCAACATTATTGCCTATTTTCTTCATGACATGGCATTAAACACATTTTTTCATTTAAATTAAAAAAAAATATAGTGTTTTTATGTCATTCCTGTGGCTTTTATGTTGACCAGAAATGTTCTCATTTAAGTATTTTACCACATACAGCCCACTGTTTGTGGGATTTTATAAAGAGAAAACACAAGTTAGTGACATTTGGATTGATTTTTCTAAGGGTGTTTGTTGCATTGTCTTCAAAGTTCTTTGCAAGATAGAGAAGCAAATTCCCATCCCTGGAGAATCAACAGCGTTTTCACCAGGCAGCAGCAGGGAGTAACTGTAAACAGTGGCTGTCAGAGTCCTGGAGCCAAAAATTAGATGTTGTTGGGACACACACTCGCATGGAAACCAAATAATGCTTGAAAACATAATCCTATAGAAAGTCCAGCTTTTTTTGGGGGGTGGGGCAAACCAAACACAACAAACAAATATTATTCTTTTTTTAAATTCAAGGCATCAAACACAGTTGTGATGACCAAGCCCAATGCAGCTGAGGTCTTTTCAGCCGTGTCTGTCTGAAGTGAGTTTACAGTTTACTTCATAAAAAGTATTATTTATGTGCCCCCTCAGGTGCTAAGATGTTTTTCTCCTCCAAGTCCAACTTAACATCTTTGCAGGGTGAGTGTGTGAGAGAGAACAATTAGTTGTAACAGTACAGTTTGTTTGAATGGATGGAAATAGCCTGGTCTTTTGAAGTTATTGGTTTCAGGGTCAGTTATCAAGAAATTTCTGTACAATTCCCATAATTGCACCTTCATTCATTTAGAAGGATTCACTTCCTTTTTAATTTCTCTTGGCTCATTGTGGCATGTGTGTAGGTGTGAATGTCTGCACATTCATATCTATCGTCTTCTCTCATTTCATGCTTATGGCGCAGATTCCCATCTCCCTTTCTCTCTGCTGTCTTTCTCAATCTCAGTAATCAAATGCATTAGTATCAATATTGCATGGGGAAATGAGCTGAATTTAAAGCTTGAACATGTCAAAGAGAGAGCCCCTGATAGCCACTGACTGCCACCACACAGTGGAAAATTGTGCCACCATTTGGGCTGTAATTACTGAAGCCTGGAAACTGGTTAATATCTG